TATGTACGTTTCTTGGCTGTCCTAAAGGCACAATACAAAAGCTGTGTATTTTAACCATATGATATTGCGGTTTTATATTTTTTGTTATGTATGAATTGTGGAAATAAACTATTATGTTTATATCTTTGGCTGAGAACGTTGGAATATTGCAATTTGAAATTTCTTTATGGAAAGTCTTTATAAAAAGTGCACACATCTCTCTTGTGCTCCCTCTAGTGACCATTAGGCTAAACTAAAGAAAGTGTTCGAGGCACTGAGGCTCATTTACTAAAGGAGTTGGTATTATACCCAACAAGAAAAAATTAATACAGTATATTGCAGCTTGATGTGGTGGCTGCATTAGTTTTCCTTTAGGCTCTTTCCCTTCAGTTTTCACCTGGTGATCTGGCCAGTAATACACCGCCTGTTTTAGAATGCCCCCACTCTGGATATAGGAGCATAGGGGGCACCTTTGGTCATCAGCATTGATAATATGGGAGAGGGGAGTGTTAAATGTACCAGCAAATTTAGATACCCTAACAAACTCAAGTCAAATTCCATCTCACACTGCAGTTACACAACAGTTCCAGCTAAATTTTTTCATTAGGGATAAAGGTTTTACATGAATAAATAAAAGCTGATCATTGTAAGCACCCCTGTCATTGTTTATTTCAACTCTCTAACTGCTACATTTGCAGGAGAGCTTTCTCTGTTGAAAAACAACAGACCTACTGACTGGACCACTGAATGTTTGCTTTTGGGTTTAATACTGCTTAACGAAGGACTTCAGCCTTACCATAAAATTTTCAACAAAGGCACTTCTAGAAATGTTTAATAATGGCAATCTCCAAACCGATGCTTATAGATAACTGCAGGCTATTTATTTTTGGCATATCTTATTTTTCTTGAATTAAGCTCCCTTTACTTCCTTACACTCTGCTTAGAACTCTGGGTCTGCCTCCTGGAACAAGTGGCAGAACTTCCCGGGATCCATGTGCATGTCTATAATGGACATTCATGAACAGCTGTAAAAATTACTGATTTTTACAAACTAAAACAGACGTTTTGAACTCCGACACCAGCCTACACATTGTCGTTTCCAGGAATGTGTATTTGGAATATTATATATGGCCAATAAAGAGGTCAGTATAGATCCCCCACTGGTCTAGACCCCCCCAGTACAAATCCCCCCCAGGGACGGAACTCCCCCGTAGAGGTTCCCCCTAGTAAAGATCACTCCCTATCCAGTACAGATCTCTCCTCCCCATGAAATCCTCTCACTAAACGACGAATTTCCAAGCAAAGGAAAGTCCCCACTTAGCTGTATCATGTGACTGGAGCCAAGAAGGAGATAAAGAGAACCTCCTTCACAGGGGAACTGCCCCTGCCTGTGTCTGAGTTCTGACAGGCAGAAAGGGCAGCAGCTGCAGTGTTTCTGGTGCACAGTTACTATGAGAGCTAGGTACGGCTCTGCAGATGCTCTGGGGGTTGGACCCCTGTATCTCTGCTATCTACAACCCTGGAAGAAAAAGCAGAGTCAAAAAGAGATTAACATATGACTATGCTACTAAAGCCGGCCATAGATGGAGCGATTTTCATTGTTGCAGGAAAGAAAATCACTTGATTCCCCCATCAACACAGTCATTGTTGATGGGGGAATCCCTCCCGCTGAACCATTGTGTTTTTTCGCTGGGAGAACATCTTGATTACTGCTACCGGCTATAATAGCTGCTAGCAATCATCGCATGTAAAACCCAACATGCTAGCTGTACCCAAGTCTATCGATCGACCACCTTACAGTAGATACATTCAGCCTTCTTATACATGGTTCAAATTTGCTGAACCTGCTGGGATTCAAACCGTTTATCTTCTCCAGGATAACATGGAAGCAGATGAAGTGGCTTGGATGTTGTTGGCTATCAGATCATGAACATTTAGCAACAGAAAAAATACTGCAGGGAAATCTTTGGATTGAAGGTGAATATTTCAGCTCAAGTTGTTGTTTATCTTTTATTTGGCTACTTATTTGGCTGCTTTTAACAAAAAACTCTTAAACATAGGCTTGGCCAATACACTTTATTACATAATGTCTGAAAAATGTTGATTTTCAAATCTACAGACACTGGAGGCAGAGAATCCATCTCCCTAGAACCTTTGCTTTCTCTCCTGGCCTGAAAAGGACCATCTTTGTCATCTCTGGAGTTTCATTGTATTTCTGTCTTGTTTTACTCTTTAAATAAAGAGAAAGAAAATTGTGCTTGTTGAGCTTAATAGGTTTGTAAAGTTTTGCTTTGTTATAGATTGAAAAGTTCAAGAAATGAACACAGATGGACTCTTTTCTCTTGACACAAGTATTTTTCCTTGGTCACAGCTCTTTTTCCTTGTACAAAAATCAATAAAAGCTATTGATGAAAACCACAAAGGGAGTTTATTATTATAGCATACATCATCATGTGTGGAATTACCAGGCCACAGTATAACAGTGACAAAGGTGCTGAAGCTGCAACAGTTTTTATTTTTAAGAAGATTTAAAGCCAACAAGATACATTCCAGGTGTATTGAAACAAAATGTGTTCAGTCTTACAGTTCATTTTATTTAGAAAGCAGGCACAACTGAGCAGAAAAGCCTCTCCCTTGCCAGCATACTGTATCATGCAAGCAGTGGTCTCTCTGCAGATGTCTGACATGCCCCTTGTGAGTCAGACTTGAGCAAAGCTTACAGTCCCTGCTGATAAAAGAGCTCTAGCTCCGATTCACCAGTCATATAGAACCCCTTCAGTGAAATCATTGCTTCCACACAGAGAACAAATATCCTTCTCTACACCATTCTGGCTGGGGATAGGCTTTTCTACTCAGACAGTGGCTGCTTATTAAACAAAATGAACTGCAAGGCTTTAACACCTTTTGTTTTGATTCAATTTAGCTGTTAGCTGATCTAAAGCCTAAGTTTAGTCAAAAAAGTGTTTTAAAAATCAGCATAAGGGGCACTACTTACAGTCAATGCAATGCATCCTTTGTACTGCTGACTGCAGAATTAGTCAAAAACTTCCATCCTCTGATCCCCCTACCCCCACCACCATCATCTAGTAGAGGGGGTAATAGAGCAATGGGACCTGTCCTATGCATTCATCAGGAGTGCTATGCCCTTCTTTTTCCCTTCTCCATTCATAGAAGCTATACTATTGCTTCTATAAATGAAAAACAAACTATGAGTGGAGGAAGGGCTGCCTAATCCATTCATAGATCATTTTTTCTTCATGTGGGATGCCACAGTAATATGAATATGTAATTATGAATATTTATGTTTCCCCTGCTCATCCAGTAGAAGGTGTATTGTTACTGATGCATGTTGGAGGAGAGCATAAATATTTGGGGAAGACTATATGAGTTGTTAGAGGCGCTGCAGTTAGAGATGAGCGAAGTATTCAAAAATTCGATTCGACTGATTCGGCGAATTCGTGGAAAAATTTTGATTCGAGTCGAATATATTCGCAGCGAATTTAACTTATAAAAGGGTGTTTCTAGGCTTCAGAGAGCCTTTATATTAGTGCAGAACACTGTACCTTTAATTTAAATGCCCTTGGAGTCTGCTGGGGAAGAGAAATAATACTGTCAGTCAGTATGACATGCAGATGAGTGCCGTCGATCTTAGAATCACCGCACACTTCACTCATTTGGGCAGTCACGGGGCCAAAACCAGAGTGTGTGGAGCCACAGTGTGGCGGTGGAGGCAGCAGCAATGGGAGGCCATACAGCACCCCATGACAAAAATGGAAACCACCAGCAGTGTGAGGAGACCTGAAAGTGGCACATGGCAGAGTGTGGCGATGGAGACAGCAGCAATGGGAGGCCGTACAGGGACCCATGACACACTCAGGACCTGGCAGCAGCATGAGGAGGCGGTACAGGGGCCCATGACAGATTACGGGCCTGGCAGCAGCATGAGGAGTTGGTACGGGGGCCCATGGCAGATTAGGGGCCTGGCAGCAGCTATGGGAGCCCGTAATCTGCCAGCACCCTATGACAAAAAATGGAACACACCAGCAGTGTGAGGAGACCTGAAAGTGGCACATGGCAGAGTGTGGCGATGGAGACAGCAGCAATGGGAGGCTGTACAGGGACCCATGAGAGACTCTGGACCTGGCAGCAGCATGAGGAGGCAGTATAGGGGCCCATGGCAGATTAGGGGCCTGGCAGCAGCTATGGGAGGCCCGTAATCTGCCAGCACCCTATGTCAAAAAATTGAACACACCAGCAGTGTGAGGAGACCTGAAAGTGGCACATGGCAGAGTGTGGCGATGGAGACAGCAGCAATGGGAGGCCGTACAGGGACCCATGAGAGACTCTGGACTTGGCAGCAGCATGAGGAGGCGGTATAGGGGCCCATGGCAGATTAGGGGCCTGGCAGCAGCTATGGGAGGCCCGTAATCTGCCAGCACCCTATGTCAAAAAAATTGAACACACCAGCAGTGTGAGGAGACCTGAAAGTGGCACATGGCATGAGACACTGTGGACCTGGCAGCAGCATGAGGAGGCGGTACAGGGGCCCATGGCAGATTAGGGGCCTGGCAGCAGCTATGGGAGGCCCGTAATCTGCCAGCACACCCTATGACAAAAAATGGAACACACCAGCAGTGTGAGGAGACCTGAAAGTGGCACATGGCAGAGTGTGGCGATGGAGACAGCAGCAATGGGAGGCCGTACAGGGACCCATGAGAGACTCTGGACTTGGCAGCAGCATGAGGAGGCGGTATAGGGGCCCATGGCAGATTAGGGGCCTGGCAGCAGCTATGGGAGGCCCGTAATCTGCCAGCACCCTATGTCAAAAAATTGAACACACCAGCAGTGTGAGGAGACCTGAAAGTGGCACATGGCATGAGACACTGTGGACCTGGCAGCAGCATGAGGAGGCGGTACAGGGAGGCCCCCATGGCAGATTAGGGGCCTGGCAGCAGCTATGGGAGGCCCGTAATCTGCCAGCACCCTATGACAAAAAATTGAACACACCAGCAGTGTGAGGAGACCTGAAAGTGGCACATGGCAGAGTGTGGCGATGGAGACAGCAGCAATGGGAGGCCGTACAGGGACCCATGAGAGACTCTGGACTTGGCAGCAGCATGAGGAGGCGGTATAGGGGCCCATGGCAGATTAGGGGCCTGGCAGCAGCTATAGGAGGCCCGTAATCTGCCAGCACCCTATGACAAAAAATGGAACACACCAGCAGTGTGTGAGGAGACCTGAAAGTGGGCACATGGCAGCAGCAATGAGACACCCATGAGAGACTCTGGACCTGGCAGCAGCATGAGGAGGCGGTACAGGGGCCCATGGCAGATTAGGGGCCTGGCAGCAGCTATGGGAGGCCCATAATCTGCCAGCACCCTATGACAAAAAATGGAACACACCAGCAGTGTGAGAGACCTGAAAGTGGCACATGCAGGGGGCATGATTCATGGCGGATTTAGTCAGTTGTGTCAGGAACTGGTGGTTTGAAATCCAGACTAATCCACACCTGATTCATTTTCACAAACGTGAGTCTCTCCACACTTTGGGTGGACAGTCGTGTCCTCCGCGGAGTTACAATACCTCCTGCCGCACTAAACACGCGCGCTCCGATGCCACACTACTGGCCGGGCATGACAGCCTTTCAAGGGCAAATTCAGCTAGTTGGGGCCAAAGGTCAAGTTTCGTTGCCCAGTAGTCAAGGGGATTGTCTACCTCGGTTGGCAGGGTGCTGTCCAAGTAGGGCCCAAGCCTGTTGTTTGAGGTCCTGCTCCAGGTCCACCTGATGCTGCTGCTGCTGCGGCTGGTTAGTAGTTTCCTCACTGCGCTGGTGAAGAAAGCTACTCATCATCGACTGCAGACTGAGGCAGCCGCTGCTGGTGGAGCTGCCACTGCTCCTACCACCCCACCCCTCCCCTGCTGCCATGGCAGCAGAACGCGAGCGCACAGGGCCCACAGTGTCTGAGGATGGACGTTGGCGCACAAAGGGCAGAGACCAAACTGACTACATAGGTGGTTTTTATAGTACGTTATTTTGGCCTCCCTCTCAGCAGGTGTGAAAAAGGCCACCATTTTTGAACGGTAGCGAGGGTCCAACAAGGTGGACAGCCAAAAGTCATCCCTCTGTCTGATGGTTATTATTCGGCTGTCGCTACGCAAGCAACCGAGCATGCTATGGGCCATTTGTGCCAAGGAATGCGAGGGACTCCCTGCCTCCATCTCCACAGCATACTGCCACGGTGCGTCTGGGTCCTCTGTCTCCCTCCTCCCTCCTCTACCAGATGCTCCTGCTCCTCCACTCCTGTCCGCTGAGTGGAAAAACCACCCATTTCACTCAATAATTCCTGAGCACAAATGTCCTCCTCTACCTCCTCCTCTTCTTCCTGTCCTGCCCCCACAGGGGTCATGTGGCGTTGAGATCTGTGCGCCACGTCTACCGCACCCTGACCAGCCATTGTTAACAGCATTTGTTCCAGGACGTGCAACAGAGGAATGACGTCGTTCATCCCATAGTCCTGCCGACTCACGAATAGCGTGGCCTCCTCAAAGGGCCTGAGCAAGCGGCAGGTGTCACGCATGAGCTGCCAATGGCTGACATCGAAGTTACACAGGGGAGTACCTTTATCCGCTTGTAACATCAGGAAATCGGTGATGGCCTTTCGCTGTTCGTAAAGGCGGTCTAACATGTGTAGGGTTGAATTCCACCTTGTTGCAACGTCGCAGATCAGGCGATGCTGTGGAATTCCGTTCTGCTGCTGCAGCTCAAGGAGGGTGTGCTTTGCGGTGTAGGAATGGCTGAAATGCATGCAAAGTTTACGTGACATTTTAAGGATGTCTTGCAGTGGGATGGTGGATTTTAGGAACCGCTTGACAACCAGATTGAACACGTGAGCCATGCATGGCGCATGGCACAACCTTCCTTGACGCAGAGCAGACACCATGTTCTTTCCGTTGTCGGTCAACATGGTTCCGATTTTCAGTTTGCGCGGAGACAGCCATCTGTCGATTTCTCTGTTCATTACACTGAGAAGTTCCTCCCCTGTGTGACTACGTTCGCCAAGGCATACCAGGTGCAGCACAGCGTGACACCGTTGCGCCCTGCACATGTGATATGCCGGTCGGGTAATGGGACTTGGCACGGGGGGGGGGGCGGCTGAGGACACGAAGGAAGAAGAGGTGGTAGAGGCGGACATCTTTTGTGGACCAAGGACGTGCAAACGTGGAGGCAAAAGCGGCGTGACCTGTCCAAGTTGCTGGTGCGGCTGTGACGGCACCACGTTCACCCAGTGGGCCGTAAATGACATGTACTGTCCCTGACCGTAGTTACAGCTCCACACGTCGGCGCTGCCGTGCACTTTGGCAGAGACCGACATGCTCAAAGACTGGCCCACCATCTCTTCTACATGTGAATGCAGGGCTGGCACTGCCTTTTTGGCAAAGAAATGACGGCTTGGCACTCTCCACCGCGGCGCGCGCGGCACAAGCCATCATTTCTCGGAAAGGTGCTGAGTCCACCACTTGGAAAGGGAGGGACTGCAGCCAGCCCAGCAACTTGGACAGGAGGACGTTCAGCTTTTGCACCCGTCGGTGCGTGCTGCTCACAAACTGTTGTCTCTTGGAAACACCAAGGATTCCAAGAAAGACTCGCTGACGGAATCCGTGAAGAGGAGTAGTAGCAGGAGAAGGAGCATCTGAACGAGCGGAAGATGCAACGAGCGACAACTCCCCTCAGCAGAGGTGTTGGAGCCTTGACTGGCTGATAGAGGGCGATTGACGTCAAGTCGGGTGACGGAGCAAGTAACGGAGCGGGTGATGGAGCGGGGGGGGGGCGGGCAGAACCCCCGTATCTTTATCACGGTTTTCCCAGGCCACCAAATGGCGACTGCTGCATATGCTGCCGCAACGCTGTAGTCCCAACATGGGCCCCCCTGGCCACGCTTGACTTTCTGGCCACATAGTCGACATACGGCTACGTTTACTTCCTCGGGCGCGCTTGACAAAAAATTGTCCCTCCGCCGATAACAATTCTGTGTCCCCCTAAGTAACAATTCTGTGGCCCCGTAAGTAACACCACTTCTGTGGCCCTAAGTAACGTGTACTCTGTGGCCCTAAGTAACGATTCTGTGTCCCTCAGTAACAATTCTGTATCCCTCAGTAACAATTCTGTGTCTGTCCCTGAGTAACAATTCTGTGGCCCTAACGATTCTGTGGCCCTAAGTAACAATTTCTGTGGCCCTCAGTAACAAATCTGTGTCCCTCAGTAACAATTCTGTGTCCCCCTCAGTAACAATTCTGTGTCTGTCCCTAAGTAACAATTCTGTGGCCCTAAGTAACGTTTCTGTGTCCCTAAGTAACGGTTCTTTGGCCCTCAGTAACAATTCTGTGTCCCTCAGTAACAATTCTGTGTCTGTCCCTAAGTAACAATTCTGTGGCCCTAAGTAACGTTTCTGTGGCCCTAAGTAACGATTCTGTGGCCCTCAGTAACAAATCTGTGTCCCTCAGTAACAATTCTGTGTCTGTCCCTAAGTAACAATTCTGTGGCCCTAAGTAACGATTCTGTGGCCCTCAGTAACAAATCTGTGTCCCTCAGTAACAATTCTGTGTCTGTCCCTAAGTAACAATTCTGTGGCCCTAAGTAACGTTTCTGTGGCCCTAAGTAACGGTTCTGTGGCCCTCAGTAACAATTCTGTGTCCTCCTCAATAACAATTCTGTGTCTGTCCCTAAGTAACAATTCTGTGGCCCTAAGTAACATTTCTTCTGTGGCCCTAAGTAACATTTCTGTGTCCCCTAAGTAACGATTCTGTGTCCCTAAGTAACAATTCCCCCTCAGTAACAATTCTGTGTCTCTCAGTAACAATTCTGTGTCTGTCCCTAAGTAACAATTCTGTGGCCCTAAGTAACGTTTCTGTGGCCCTAAGTAACGATTCTGTGGCCCTCAGTAACAATTCTGTGTCCCAGTAACAATTCTGTCTGTCCCTGAGTAACGTTTCTGTGGCCCTAAGTAACGTTTCTGTGGCCCTAAGTAACAATTCTGTGGCCCTAAGTAACGATTCTGTGGCCCTAAGTAACAATTTCTGTGGCCCTCAGTAACAATTCTGTGTCCCTCATAACAATTCTGTGTGTGACCCCTAGTAAAAATTCTGTGGCCCTAAGTAACAATTCTTTCTGTGGCCCTAAGTAACAATTCTGTGGCCCTCAGTAACAAATCTGTGTCCCTCAGTAACAATTCTGTCTGTCCCTGAGTAACAATTTCTGTGGCCCTAAGTAACGTTTCTGTGGCCCTAAGTAACAATTCTGTGGCCCTAAGTAACGATTTCTGTGGCCCTAAGTAACAATTCTGTGGCCCTCAGTAACAATTCTGTGTCCCTCAGTAACAATTCTGTTCTCTGTCCCTAAGTAACAATTCTGTGGCCCTAAGTAACAATTCTGTGTGGCCCTAAGTAACGTTTCTGTGGCCCTCAGTAACAATTCTGTGTCCCTCAGTAACAATTCTGTGTCTGTCCCTGAGTAACAATTCTGTGGCCCTAGTAATGTTTCTGTGGCCCTAAGTAACGATTCTGTGGCCCTCAGTAACAATTCTGTGTCCCTCAGTAACAATTCTGTGTCTGTCCCTAAGTAACAATTCTGTGGCCCTAAGTAACGTAACGTATTCTGTGGCCCTCAGTAACAATTCTGTGTGTCCCTCAGTAACAATTCTGTGTCCCTAAGTAACAATTCTGTGGCCCTAAGTAACGTTTCTGTGGCCCTAAGTAACAATTCTGTGGCCCTAAGTAACAATTCTGTGGCCCTCAGTAACAATTCTGTGTCCCTCAACAATTAACAATTCTGTGTCTGTCCCTAAGTAACAATTCTGTGGCCCTAAGTAACGAATCTGTGTCCCTCTGAGTAACAATTCTGTGTCCCTCAGTAACAATTCTGTGTCTGTGGCCCTGAGTAACAATTCTGTGTCCCTAAGTAACGTTTCTGTGGCCCTAAGTAACGATTCTGTGGCCCTAAGTAATGTTTCTGTGGCCCTCAGTAACAATTCTGTGTCCCTCAGTAACAATTCTGTGTCTGTCCCTAAGTAACAATTCTGTGGCCCTAAGTAACGTTTCTGTGGCCCTAAGTAACGGTTCTGTGGCCCTCAGTAACAATTCTGTGTCCCTCAGTAACAATTCTGTGTCTGTCCCTAAGTAACAATTCTGTGGCCCTAAGTAACGATTCTGTGGCCTCAGTAACAATTCTGTGGCCCTCAGTAACAATTCTGTGTCTGTCCCTAAGTAACAATTCTGTGGCCCTAAGTAACGTTTCTGTGGCCCTAAGTAACGATTCTGTGTGGCCCTCAGTAACAATTCTGTGGCCCTCAGTAACAATTCTGTGGTCCCTGAGTAACAATTCTGTGGCCCTAAGTAACGTTTCTGTGGCCCTAAGTAACGATTCTGTGGCCCTAAGT